ACAAAGTTATATATTTCTATGGTAAACCTGCGCAAAGCTCCATCTTCTCATGAAAATATTTCTGTGCCGCTGAAAGAAAACCATTTTGCTTTCATAGTAGACTAATGGACATCACTTGGGAATATGAATTTTTGACTTTGCTGAAGAGAATATAAAAGTGACCTTTTTGAATATTCCTTTTGGTTTTGGAAACTGAGACAGCATATGAGAATTCTGGATAATTGAAAGCTTTTATGTGGACAAGCAAGGGGGGAAAAATCTATTGTTTCCATATCCATTAAAAAAGCAGCTTTTCAGCTGCTTTATACCTGAAAAAGTATAAATATTAGTATTAATATCAGTTAAACTTACTGCCTTAGAGCCAAAATAGATGAATCGACATGAACATTCTTTGTATATTTGAAGTGCAGCCACAATAAGGTGATGAGTGTAATTAAAGCTACAGGTCATTTTCAGTGGTCACTGGTTAGCCAACAAGGAAAGACTTAAGCACTTTTCTCTTATCAGCTGTTTTGTTTTAAATTTGTTTAATTGAAATACGGGCATGCCTCATCCTAATATCATCCAGGGCATTTTTGTAACAAAAAATAACTTTGGAGGAAAAAACCCTTAGTGAAAGTTCTAACAGCCCATGCAATATGAAATATTTCAAGAGTTGCAAACGAAGTCTAGTAGCCAGACGTTAAGACTAAAGTTCATATTAAATAGTTTACTAATCATTATTATTGTTACAAAACAGTACAGGAAAATTAAACCGAGTACCAAAAGGAATGTGTAGTCACATTTTGCCTGGTACCTAAAATAAAAGATAGCATAAATTGATCATTGTTAGGGATGCGTTCCATCATTCATATGCATAGATTACCCATTTGTAAAGAAATTTCTACCTGTCCACCAAATTTATAATCCCTTTGTGATAAAACATGGGTCACATTTTTTTAATGGACATCTGGGTGAAATTGGTTTTGGTCTTTCTTTATGGTCATGGTGAATTGATTATACGGGTTATACAAGTTAATGTTAAGAATATAAAATGATTTGAGATAAATGGGAATCTTCACTTGTAGCAATTTGTTTTTAAAAAGTTAAAGTCAACAAGAATAAAGTGTACTGATGTTGGCAAATAAATCACATTGCAAGAGTATGTTGCTCTAGAACAAAAACTGACTTCTGATACTTAACAATTGAAAGAAATGGAAAAAAAATTTTTACTAGCATGAATATCTATATTGATGTGTATTGAGTTTATAGCATGAGTATAAACAGCATGGATGTTTTGAATGGCTTTCGAGAAACACTTTTGCCTCTTTTATTGTGGATTTGCTAATGCTTTCTTAAGATGAAAAAGAATCCAAAGAAGCTTGGAGATACTTTCCACGTAAGTGGATCTCCTGGATCCATCTATTATGTATCATTGGCAGTCCTTTCTCTCCCCCCCCCCCCTTTAGAACTATTGTAAAGTAACCTTGGGTTTTAAATTTCAGGAAAGAGCAATACCAGGTCTTGGCCATTCTGAAGCTGTTATTGACATTCTTGTAGTCTTCCTACACATTGCTATTATAGTTTTTCCTCTGAACTTTCATGTACTTTCATATTTGCTTTAAAACATGTGGAATAAATACAATAAATGTTTTGCTTTGGTTTTAACACCTGGGTAGCCTAGGAAATGAAGAGTAGAGGAAGATAGTGAAAAAAGGACAAAAAAGCATTGAGGGTTCCTATCATTACTATGCAGAAATGAATGTCTTTCCTATTGCTAGCAGTGTTTGTCATGGAGACCTTGCAGCATCACAATTTGTGCTTATATGCAAGTATGCTATGGGAGGATTTCTCTTTCCTTTTGTTTCTCCCCTCACCCACTTGTGAATCTAAAAGGAGTCATAATTTATGATGGCATTTCACAAACTCTAACTTTGCTTGCTCAGATAAGAACTGTTTCTTTGGAGCTAAAGTTAGCTTCATACCATTAACTGGATACTCTAGCTGCAATTCTTAAAACACTGGGTTTTTTAGTATTGATATGCTACAGACCTGCTTATATCAAAATCAGCTGTGCACTGTGCGTTAATCTAAATGTAGAATTGAAAGGAATCTCTAGGGCAAGATAAGATGCGATCCATTCTTTTTCACATCCACAAATTTTCCCTAAATCTTTCTCATTTTTTTTTCTTATAGGTAGAATTTTTAGAGAAAAGTACTAGCTGGATAAGTATTAAAACTCTCAGGCACTGGCTTTCCATTGCATTTGTTTTTCTTTCTTCCTTTACAAAGTTTATATAGCTGCTTATCTTGAACCATTACAAAGCTAAACTTTGTAATGCAGCCCACAACAAATTCATTCCAACAATCTCTCCCTATCCCGGTGCTTGAGGGAAAACTCACATCTTAAGTGCTTTTCAGAAGGTTAAAAGGGTGGTGGCCTGCTGGACCTCACGGGGAAGGGTATTCCATTAAACAAGAGCTGACATGAAAAAGGTGCACTTCCTAGATCCTATGGCAATATTTAAAGGAAGGGACCGGGAATGTGCCTACCCTATCTGATCTAGTAAGACAGGAAGAGGTGGTCCTGGAAATAACCCTGGTTTCCTGCCGTATAGGGCTTTAAAGGGAATAATCAGCACCTTGAATTGAACCCAGAAGAAAACTGAGAGCCAACCAATAATACAAGGCATTGAAAATCCTGTGCTTTCCTTGTAATATGAAATTCGCCACTCAAAGAGTTTTAAAAAGGCAGTTTAATTCAGCATCAGCTTTCACATACAGATAGTCCTTGACTTATGACTGTCTATTCAATGATCATTCAAAATTACAACAGCACTAAACAAAGGGAATTATGTCCTGTAGTCAAAATTACAGTCAGCACAGCGCCTTTATGGTCACTGAACAAAATGTGGGTGTTTGGCTATCTGCTCACCCTTACGATTGACCGCAGGGATGCTGTAGCAGCCCCACACCACCGATCAACCTTGGGCCTTCCCCCTATCACTCTTCACTTTACTTATCTTTTCTGAAGATGGCCTTCAGAGAGGAGAACTGCCAAGCCACTACACAGCCTTCCTATGTAGAGGCCATGAGGTGCCATCCTGGAAGCCGGGGCCATTTTGGATCCCAGAATTTTGTCCTCTTCCAAATGGCACCCGCTTCTGGAACGGGAATACTGCAAGTTTTTATTGTGATTCAAGGATGGTGAATTGCTATCTCTGTTAGCTTAATTCTGGAAGTAAGAACTCCAGGCGTTTCAGCATTATTACATTTATGCTCAAGGCAGAATGTAATCGGCATTTGTGTCTAAAAACAAAAGCACATTTTATAGTATACATAAAAATACATGGTTTCTAAACTATGAAGATTTTACTGTTCTGCTTAATTTTACAGAAATGTACAGTAACATCTCCCTTGTGTGACATATGCATTCACTTCCTACAATTGTACACCCAATTCAATTTTTCTACATTTAATTCCTGTGAAGAATACATAATACATAAGGCTTTACTATATTTATTGAACAACCCCATGCTGCAAATGCAGATTTCAAACCACAATTTAAGTACAAGAGCTTTGGCAAACCTGTCAGGTTAAGAAGACAAGTGCAATATTGTACATAATATCTGTATGTCATTTGCTGTAATTACAGGCAGTCCTTGACTTAAAACGTGCATTTATTCAATGACCATTTAAAGTTACAACAGCACTGGAAAAAGTGACTTAACAACTGGTCCTCACGTTTACAACTGTTGCAGCATCCCATAGTCACGTAATCAAAATTCAGGCATTGGCAACCAACATAGATTTAGTGATTGTAGCATCCAGGAATTGAGTGATCACCATTTATAATTTTCCCAGACAGCTTCTGCAAGCAAAGTTAATAGGAGTAGCCAGATTTGCTTAACAGCCACATTGTTCATTTAACAACAGTGATTCAGTTAACCATATCAAAAAAAGGCGGTAAAATTGGGCAGAATTCACTGAACAAGTGCCTTGCTTAGCTACAGAAATTATGGCACCAATCATGGTTGTTGAGGACTACCTGTACACAGAATGGATCTGTTTTACCAAAGGTTGTCCTTACTAATGTAATTTCTATACTAATTTCAGCTTCTTCTTTGTTAATTCAGAATCTAATCTTGAAGAGTTTTTGTTTTCTTGGTAAAGTCACATCATTTCCCTTGGGCAATGCAAGAAAAAGTAAGTCTTTGGAACCATTGCATGTTCCTGAAAACTAAATAGGGCAGTTTTGTTTAAATACTTTCATATGACTGTATGACTTATGGGTCAACCCTACCATGAAAATCAGGTGACAATGAATAAATAGAGCTTTAAAGGACTTTTTTCTGTTATTTTAAGAAAAACAATGCTAAATAAAAATAGTACATTCCTGGTTTATTTTAGAAGTTAAAAAAGATGAGAAGAATGTGGTACAAACACTGAATTCTAACCAATATTTTCTCTTGGCAATTTTGATACATTGCGTATATTAAGCATAAACTTTCTGAATATTAGGTAACTATTAAACTCAGCATATGATGAAAACTCAATTTAATGGGCTTTGCATGCAATGGACCTCATTTCCTTGGCAATTTGTATAATGTCTTCATGAAAATGATGCAATATTCATCATTTGCATGTTATGCAAATGGTGTCATTTGCATTGTGACAGTTGATGCAATATAACAAATACTGCAGTGATATACTTTCTGGAACAAGCTAACATCTTGAATCTGCTAACATCTTGAATCATGCATGCAGCCTATTGTCATTTGGATGCGGATCATTGTTCCTAGTCTGGAAATAAACATGGAACCATTTGATGAAGGTTTATCTGGTCTATTTTATCTCTTAATAGTAGAATAACTTTTCTCATTAAAGTGAAATGAACCTACTAGTTAAAGGAGAACTGGGTGAAAAAAGAGAGCTGTCTAATCTCTAAAATTTCTGAAACTTCACATTTTTTTCTCAAACATAGTTGACTTCTTACATATAATTTAAATACAGCCATGTGATTTGTCTGAATTTTTCAAATCATTTTTATTCCCATGTTCAAAATCATGTGAGTACAGTTACATTTAAAGTCCACAAAAGTATGAGAAACACATACCATTTAGAAACATTCCAAGTCACATACTGCTCCAAGCTTTTAATTTTTTCAGGCTTTAAAGTGATTTCAGTGCTCCCAATAATTGAGAAAATATATATGGTACCTCTGATTTCTAACCTTTTTACCCCTTCATTCTTTTTAAATTGATTGTATATAGGAACAGTGACTGTCAAATTTATGGCTTTCGGTGAAAATGCCTTCCCTTTGATCAGCAAGTCCTAGGGCTCAGTAATCCCACCCAGCTACAAACTGTAGTTTGATTTTGAGCTATGCTTCTTGAAGAACTATGTTATTATCCCCGTTAACCCTGAAGTCATAAACTGATAAAGCCCCATATAAGATTCCTCCCAAAGTTGATGGGAAAGAAGTAATGCCAGTACAATGTATGCACTACTTCCACGAGCCAATACAGAACATTTTATCTCTAGCATGGTTACTCTAGGTGCACTTAAGAAAAAAAAAACGTACAGCTCATCTTTAATGCCATTCTGGAATAAAGATTTCAGTAGATGTCTATAGTTCACTTTAAATGCATTTACTGTTTAAGATTAGTGATTTCTATGTGAAACAGGCACCACGACTAGGGGTGGGGAGAATGCACCTAGCAAGGATTTTGTAGCAGTTTTTAGGGAAATGGCTATATTTCAAGCAGCAGGGATATTGTGATACATCCCGTTATTTTTCTGCTGGTATTAAAGTTGACACAAGAGGAAACTTCTCAACACCTAAAATCTACTTAATTTATACTGTATTTTAACCAATACTAATGTTGGCTTACCAGAGCATAAGTGATAAATATAGATTTCACATGAGAAGCTTGAGGGAAAAAGCCACTTTAATTTATTAAAGACATTCACTTGTTACTATAGTAAAGAGAGAGAAAGAAAAAGAAGCATTCATTAGTGATCATTTGTTCCAGTTAGGAAGACCTCTTTCTTCAAAAGTGAGTAAGAAATGCATTAAATAAAAGAATAATTGTTCAACTGAGATATGGGAAAATATTTGAACAAAGGTACATACAGAGGCAAATATCTACAGTGCACATTATGTTAAAGTACACATCAGTTGGAATAGTTGATCTATACACTAAAGTGCCATTTGCAAGTTCATGCATTTGTCAACTGAAAGCTGCACAGACCCACTGGAAGAACCACAATTGCATAAATCAGCATTTAGATAAAGAGACTTACACACTTTATTTTATGACTGTTCTCATACTGAAACTTATTAAACAAAAATAATCCATCTAATCAGCAGATTGAAACCGTGTTCAGCCAGGCGCTTGTTCTATTTCTCCAAATATTTTTTTCCCTTCTGTTCTAACTGCTTCCTAATCAGGAGTGTATCGTTACAGTACATATTCTATTCTCAAAAAGCTGGTATTGAAAGTGCCCTTTAGGGTGTGAGTTTTGTACATTTTTCAAGCCCTAGGATTTTCTTGACATTTTCTAGCCCCCCTCTGGTGCATACGAGTGATAGTCATTTTATGCTGAAGCCACGTATTGTTCAAATTCATTAATTTGATACACTGAAGATTGAGGAAACAAACCACCATTCAAAAAAAAGTTCAATTACATATATCTATAGATGGAAATAAAGCCACATGCAACTATAGAAGAGGTAAAATAACACTTGTAATACAGTAGTTGAATTGTTGGAGTGGAAATCAGTTTCGCTTTCCACAACACTGGAAGCTCACTAGATAACTTTGGATCTGTTAGGGGGGAGGCTCAGCCCCTCATCCATAGGATAATTTGCAGGAAAAATGGAAAGTCAATGCAATGAATACAGGATTTTCTTGGTTCCTGGAAAGATAGTATCTAAATGTAATGAATATATCCTATTCTTCAGAATGAACAGTTTGTTCTGCACAAAAATGAGTTGAAAAATGAGTTAGTTACGGTCTTACTGTTGGTAACTAATGACAGGTTTTACAAAGATCTGTACTTGATGTATCTTTAAATCCAATTTTTTTTCAAGATCTGAAGAAACAATTACTGAGACTGAAAAATCTTTTATTTCAAAGTTAAAAATCACAAGTAGTTTCATTCTGCGGTACAATCTTTCAAGTATGTTGCACTTTCATGATTGCCAATGGCTTCTTCCTGTATAGAAAAATCACTTTAAAAAAACCAGAAATGTGTGATACATTGGAGTACAGTAAAATTTGCAATGTCACCTGAGCCTTGACACAGAATATACCCCAGCTTGATTAAACAGGCAAATGAAACAAATCCAGAATTTTAATGTTATAAAAGTCACTGTGCAAAAGCCTTATCTAGCAAAACTGTTCACTGAATGTATTTAAGTCCACTCAAATTGAAATATTTTACTACAAAAAAAGTTTAAAACCATTTACTTTCTACCAACTACTCAGTAGCCCATCACAATTAATGATTGTCTTTATCTGTCATTTGGTACAATGGGTTCATGATAGCAAATGTTCAAAACCACAGTCACAGGATATTACTAATCTACTGCACCAAAATGTTCAATTTTGTATTGTCACAACATCTACAGCAGGAATGCAAACCTCAAAAGTCACTATACATTTATGAAAAGGAGTCATTTTTCTGTGTTCTAAAAACACTCCTAACATTTCCAGGTATAGGTTTTCCACAGATAGCTCTGCAAAAACTCATGTCTTTTAGTCCTCTTTGTGATTTTATTAAGCTGGATAAACGACAACCTCATTTTGGCAACTCCAGGGAGGAAACCAGTGAGTTGTCTAAGGAATCCAATGGTCAGCCTCCACAAAACATTCTTTACTTGCTAGTTTGTAAAGTGTGCAGTCCTTTTATAAATTATTGCCAATCAGCTCATATCATAATTTAATGGGACCTTCATTTGTTCAGAAAGAATCTTTACAAATCAGTTGCTGTCAAGTTTTCATGATTATTTTTACAATAAATTGCACTGAAAGTTGGATGCTTTCAATGTAACTCAGGTGCAACCACTTTTCTATTGGCACAGGATTGGTATATTCAATAACTATAGAGAAGAAAGACATTTCAAGAAAATATTGAGTTGCTTTATTTAAAAAATTATTACTCAATTTTAGTTTTTTTGGATGAAGGTCAATTCTTGACATTTTCCTTTAAAAATAAGTAAATAAATCTAGTAAGGGACCTATATTGGTAAACAGTTCTCATCAATATGGATCCCCTTCTGCTGCAAAGGTTAAGTAGTCAAAATATAAATAAATGTAACAAACTGCTGGAAAAAAAACCCGTTTGTAAAAAATGGAAAACCCTTGCATAATAGTCTGGAGTTTTCTACTGGTGTCCTGGTCATTTTCAAAGCACTCTGAATTTTTTAAAAAAGTAGAAGTCCCATCACCGAGCTCGTGCTGAGTAACACCTCATGTATTCTGTCATCCATGGATTGTCTGGACCTGAAGGCTTGGTTCTCCATGTTCTTTCTACTTCTGCTGTGTGTATCCGTCTTTGTGGTAGTTTCCTTTTTTCCACTTGTCTTCTGTTCTTTGCTCTTAATGCAGATTCGTGTATCTGCAGAGACAATTTAAAAGTTGGGGAGAATGGAGGGGGGGGGGTTGTAGAAAATACAGCTTTGAAATCACTTGATGAAAGTCACCCTAAAACAGCCTTCTAAATATACTAATTTGGAATTTCAATATATCTGTGTTTTTTAAACCTGACAATTTTAAAATGTGTGGAGTTCAGCTCCCAGAATTCCCAAGCCAGCAATTTCACACATCTTAAAGTTGCCATGTTTGAAAAATACTGCATTATATAGATTCCTTTTATTTTATTTATAACATTTCAGTCATAAGAGGTTGCTTATTAAATTCAACTGTTAGTCCAACCTCATATCATTTGCACAAAATTTGGAAAGTACAATGTATTCTGCTTTTGAATTTTGTGAATGATTATCCCTGGAGTTACCAATCAATAGATATTCTATGCTAGGATTTCTTTTAGTATTTACTAGTACTGCCTGGTTGCTTTATTTTTTATTCATTTTAAACATTTATATAGCCATCTATCTTTCAACCAACTTTGAATAGTTCCCATCAAAATAATATGCAAGTCTTAATAATATTAAGACTACAGTATCATAAATAATAATTTTAGCTACATTATAAGAGGACCTAAAGAGAAAAAAAAACTATTTATTCCAGAAGTCCAGAAATCACAGAAATAAACATGCTGAATAGATACATTCCTAAGATAAAGATAAAATTAAAAACCACGATATTAATAGGTGAACTGTGCCTATAAATTAGCATTGGACATACAGACATCTGGATAAAAGCACATAAAATTTAAATACATACTGTATATTATGAAATAATAGTATCATTCCATTAAAAAAATACTGTAGGCTAGGGTACTTGTTTTAGTGCCCTTTTCCTTAAGAAAAACAATGTTCCTTTACTTTAAAAAAAAAATAGTCTAGGAGGAGATCTTTGCTGCTAAACCCAGTATTAACTATTTCTATTTTAAAAAACTCTGCAGAAAATAATGCTGTATTCCAAAGTACTCAGAACTTCATCTCATTACTTTGTGCATGTTCCAACTACTCTTTTCATACACTAGATTCTATTTGTATTATACAATAAATTTTACTAGTTACAGTGAGGGAAAAAATTATTTGATCCCCTGCTGATTTTGTACATTTGCCCACTGACAAAGAAATTATCAATCTATAATTTTAATGATAGGTTTATTTTAACAGAGAGACAGAATAACAATAAAAAAATCCAAGAAAACCACATTTCAAAAAATTTATAAATTGGTTTGCATTTTAATGAGTGAAATAAGTATTTGATCCCCTGTCAATCAGCAAGATTTCTGGCTCCCAGATGTCTTTTATACAGGTAACGAGCTGAGATTAGGAGCATTCTATTAAAGGGAGTGCTCCTAATCTCAGCTTGTTACCTGTATAAAAGACACCTGTCCACAGAAGCTATCAATCAATCAGATCCCAAACTGTCCACCATGGCCAAGACCAAAGAGCTGTCCAAGGATGTCAGAGACAAGATTGTAGACCTATATAAGACTGGAATGGGTTACGAGACTATTACCAAGCAGCTTGGTGAGAAGGTGACAACAATTGGTACGATTATTCGCAAATGGAAGAAACACAAAATAACTGTCAATCTCCCCAACTGAAGTTTGCCAATGAACAGCTGAATGATTCAGAGGAGAACTGATGAAAGTGTTGTGGTCAGATAAGACCAAAATCAAACTCTTTGTCATAAACTCAACTCACTGTGTTTTGAGGAAGAGGAATGTTGCCTATGACCACAAGAACACTATCCTCACCGTCAAACATCGAGGTGGAAACATTATGCTTTGGGGGTGTTTTTCTGCTAAGGAGACAGGACAACTTCACCATATCAAAGCGGCAATGGAATTTAGTGCTTGGTGGCAAAACCCTTGTTGGCAATCACAGAGGTCAGACGTTTCTTATAGTTGGCCACCGTCAAATCTTGGGTGAGAATCTCCTTCCCTCAGCCAGGGCATTGGAAATGGGTTGTGGATGGATATTTCAGCATAACAATGACCCAAAACACATGGCCAAGGCAACAAAGGAGTGGCTCAAGAAAACGCACGTTAAGATCCTGGAGTGGCCTAGCCAATCTCCAGACCTTAATCTGATAGAAAATCTGTGGAAGAAGCTGAAGGTTCGAGCTGCCAAATGTCAGCTTCAAAACCTTAATGACTTGAAGAGGATCTGCAAAGAGGAATGGGACAAAATCCCTCCTGAGAAGTGTGTAAACCTGGTGGCCAACTACAAGAAAAATCTGACCTCTGTGATTGACAACAAGGGTTTTGCCACCAAGTACTAAGTCATGTTTTGTGAAGGGGTCAAATACTTACTTCATTAAAATGCAAATCAATTTATAACTATTTTGAAATGCGTTTTTCTGGATTTTTTTGCTATTCTGTCTCTTACTATTAAAATAAGCCTACCATTAAAATTATAGACTGATCATTTCTTTGTCAGTGGGCAAATGTACAAAATCAGCAGGGGATCAAATAATTTTTCCCCTCATTGTAGTCCCAAAGGTGCTTTTTCAAAAGGCAACTGGACTGTCCAGTTGCCTTTTGAAAAAGCACCTTTGGGACAACTCTGACCTGCATGACTGAGAATCTCCATAAACATATACTAATTAGTATCTTAACACGGAAGATGCTGAAGTACTTCACTAGAATTCCAGGGCTAATTCTGGGTCTACATAAAAGCAAGGAATATAATTTTCACAGTGATCAATACTTTTATATGGCCAAAACTGATTCCTAAATTCCCGATCTATCTAAAACTAGTAACAAATTTGCTGGATTCGTTTTATCAATATGAACTGACTTTTCACCAGTCTGGATTTCAGTCACCTGTTGATAAATTAAACCAAGAGTTGCAACATTCATGACAACAGAAAGCATGTAAGTCATCTAGGTGTAAAAAAGAAATAGGGGGAGCAGTGATCAACTGGGATCCATGTTCACAAATTGTCTATACATTTTAATCCTTAAAGTTGCAGAACTCTGCAGGAGAACAGCTTGCTGTCTGAATCCACCCTGAAGTTCAGATATTATTATCTAGGTGCTTGGCTTTCACAGATCAGGAATTGAGGAAGAGGCTTTCCTGCCTTGTATTCAACTTACAACTTCCTTGATAGACTAGTTCCCTTGTATAGTATTTACTCTTATTTAAGATTGTCCCTGGATCAAAAACACATACAATGCTTGTTTGTTAAGCTTTTCACATAGTTATGAACATATGGCATGGACATTACTTAAATAAGATCAACTGATATTTTAAGGGTGGGCAAAAGATCTTAGTTATGGATACCTCTGCTTTTATTCAGTCAGTAAGATATTTTAGGGAATATTGTGCATGCTTGGATAATCATATTTCAGCTTAATAAGTCAAAATATGAATTTCTTCATCCATGTATCTGCTTCTTGGTCTAAGCCAACTACAACCAAGAAGCTCTTCTGTTAAGAGCACTTATTGGCCTATTATTTTCCAAACCAGAAAGCTGTGGTTAATAGCTAAAGAACAAGATAATACAATCAACTCACTTCAATTTCATTTTACATTCCCTTTTCTTTCCAAGCTATTAAGTTTCCTAATTTGGATGAACATAAAAAAATATTAGAAGATGTCCTAGCTAGCAGGCTAACTCATAGGAAAGAGCAGAAACAATAAGCTACAGCAGAGGTCCTCAACCTTGGCAACTTTAAACTTGTGGACTTCAACTCCCAGAATTCCTTAGCCAGCAAACCTTTGCTGGCTAAGGAATTCTGGGAGTTGAAGTCCACAAGTCTTAAAGTTGCCAAGGTTGAGGACTCCTGACCTACAGTATTTAATAATTGAACCTATAAAGTTGAAATAGGTTGGCTGAATTCCCACTGTCTTTTACAAATATCTTCTTATCTGTTCAAAAATACTATATGAGAGTACTCCTCTGTCAAACTCCACAGTCTCTCACATTTTCAGAGCAAAAATAGATACCTTTTGATCAGTCCTTACTGTAGTACCACTAAATTTACTTCAGCAGAAATTGCCATTACATCACATGGATTTGGGGAAATTTGCTCAAGTTATACCTAATCTTTACCTAACATGCTGTTATTAATTTTAGTTGATTAAGCTAGCATAGAGGTTTAATTGATATATAGTTGTTAGGTGTATTTTTTTCTGTTTCCTTTTCTCCACAATGCTGTCAGAAGTACAGTAACAAACTTAACATTTCACAGATGAGCATTATTTTGCAAGAACTTACAGCTTCTCAATGGTACTCAAGTTCCTATCATGGAGGTGTCATCAGTACTTCAATGTTTTGTGCCATTCCTAAACTTGCGCTCATCCTGTCTCATCCTCATCCTGACTGCTGTTTTACATATATCTTACGCTGATTTTGATAGGGGCTAAGTCATAATTCTAGCATCGAGAGTTCCTTCCACAGCAGAACTGAAATTGCAGCCAAAAAATAAAAACAAAACAAACAAGTTTGCATTAAACCAGAATCAACAAGAAACAAGAATTTAGACCTATTTTGTAACCACAGTGTTATGATTAAGCCAGAAATGTTAACAGCCCAAGGAAACAGTCACATCTACAGTGTGACCCTTTTGGGGCAAGACAATGCCTCCCTTATCAAGCACATTAACAGGCTTCCAGATACTGCTTGCAAGTTTCCCATGGGGACTGGCTTGCCACCGGGGGAAGTGGAATTAGATAGGCTTGGACATGACCCAGAAAGGCTGTTATTTCCAAACTACCCTGGGGAAGCTCTTTTAAAAGGCATCATCATCTAAAAATAAATACAGATTTAGATGAAGAAAACCTTTTAGCTCCAAAAACATTGGAGGTATACCACCATCATATCATCCTCTTTAAAAATCTATCCTACCACTTTGAAGGAAAGCAAGCTTGGCACAGGAAATTCTTGCCCCATAACCAAGGCAACAGTTTCTCCGTCCTCTATACCCAATTCAGTACATTGCTAGGGGTCAGGGAAGCAAAGGACTTAATTTTAAGTTGTGGACACTTCAAAAATGGCAGCAGTCTTAACAACAAAAAATCCAGGCAATCTGATGTTACAAGAATTTCCAGGTCCCTTTTCTGAGCCTGGATATTGCAAGCAAACCGGACACAAGACACGCTGCTGGTGGAAAGGTGGTGATCCATTTATTCCAAAAGCCAAGAGAAAATAGGATACAGAGTGTTTGTTTTATAGGGGGACTGGTCCTTGGTGTGACCTTGGGGGGGGAGGTGTGTACATGTGCTGGTTCTAATGTGTGACTCTGTCAAAAGGTCAATTTTAATTGTCCTTCCTGGTGTCTGTTGGCTTGCCTTGTGTTGTGTAGACAGTGTCTGGATAGCCTGTTTGTGGGTGTGAGGAAGTGTGACTGATAAGTTCTTTGGTTAATTAGTCTTGTCCAGGTACCGTATTTGATTTTGGTATTTGGTTTTGCTATTGTCAGTTGATAGCTTAGCAGAGTTGCCATCTAGCAATCTACTGGTATAACTTCCCATAGTTTTAGTTACAGTGGATCATAGATTTGTGTCAATGAATAAGGGATAGCAGAGACAGTGAAAAATAAATTTGGAATGAAGAATCTCCTAGGATTATTATTGATTATTAAAATAAAATTATTTTCATACTGGAATAATGGGCCAGCAGAAAGGCAACATAGGCCTTGCTACACTAGACAAGTGCATAGGCAGCAAACAAGCAGCTGCATCTAGGTCAAAAGGGCAGGCAAAAACCACATCCCAAAGAGTTTTCCATATCCCATGAATATATTTGACAAAGGTGGCCCTGCTCTTATAAAACAGGTGTACAAAAGTAGTTTCGGACATAGAGACCTCAATATGAGGGGCACAATCCAAAATTGAGAGCACAGCATCCTAGATATCTTATCCAATAAGTAACACAACAAAAAATTAAAAAATTAAAAATAAAAGCCAACTTTACTTCCGACTTCAGCATCCCATAACACAAAGGCAGGGAAGCAGCAAAATGCTAGTTCATCTAGGACCGCAAATACTCTACCTAACACAGGGCTAGCATAATGCCAAATATCTAGACCAGTGTTTTTCAAACTTGACACCTTTAAGATGTGTGGACTTCAATTCCCAGAGTTCCCACAGCCAGTGTCTTAAAGTTTTAGATTTAGGCAAAACACTTCCTAAAAAGACATACTTCTTTCGCTTACTTCATTTACTGAAGCAGATGCCCGTACGTTGTGTGTCTTCTGACTGCCTGTGTCAGTCTGCTTTTCACCCCAGCCATATAAAGCAAATGGGTGTTTTATTTCCAATGTTGTTTCTGTCCTTTGTGGGCTTTTTGCTCCGCTTCGGTCACCTTGCCTGCCAGAAGCACTCTTCTGACTCAAAGGCTGCTTTTGCGGACAACTTATTGAACTGCCGATTCCTTTTCTTGCAGTTTTCCTTTCATCTTTCTTGACAACAGCCTTCTCTTTGGATTGTTTTTGATCATCAATCTCTGGGGAAAAAATGAGAAGTGAATTTTAGCCTGTTCAAACTGCACTCAAGAAATCCCATCTACTTTTGCAGCATAGCTCTTTTGATTGATTTGGAATTGAAGGAAACGACTCCCTCTTTATAATCATTGCGGACTTAGGATACAAGGTGGACCATTTTAACTCTCTCTTTTGCCACATTTGCACCTTGGGAGAACTAGCTGTTTGTATCCTATTTATTCATTTAATTTCCCTTTCCCAAGGAGACAACAACTTGGTCATCCCTCCCATTTTCTTTAATTCCCAACATCCCTGTGAGATAGGTTAGTCTGAGAGATATTACTGCCCCCAACCTCATGGGTGAATGGAGATGTGAACCAGAGCTAGATCTGATTCTAAATCAGCGGTTCTCAACCTATGGGTCGCGACCCCATTTGGGGTCGATCGACCATTTCTCGGGGGTCGCCAAACAAGGCAATCCGCCATTTTTCCCCCTCAGGGGGCGGCGCCACGCATGTGCGCCACGCATGGGGGCCACATCGCACATGCGCACCGCGCATGGGGGCCGCGTCGTGCATGCACGGCACGTTTGTGTGACGGGGGTCGCCGTCACACAAACGTTGAGAACCACTGTTCTAAATCAAACAGTAAGGCTGTAGCAGCAAAGAAAAGACATCCAGAAATGGCTATACAGTATTCCAGTACTTTCCCCAAGCAGGCAGAAGATCAGGTGGGGTCACAGATTGTCCTGTGTGAGAAAAAAAAAGTGTCTTCCATCTTGACTGCTGCCACTTGGAGCTGTTGCACAATTCCTACAAAAAAGTCTGCAAATCCTGCTTATTTTTGGCTGGCATCTAAAAGCTTATGCAATTTTTAGAATGCATGCTACCATGGCAATGACTTACATAAGCAGCAAGCTGTTTTTCAGTTCGAAAGTCACCAATCTTATCTGAGAACCCACTACACTTGTTGAGTATATGTTGTATAAATGATTCTTATTACTGAAAGACTATGAGGAAGGATACATTCTAAGCTAATATCATATAACATCATCCTTAAATAATTAGCACAACTATATTGAAATTTGCCCACTGATTAAGTTATTTTGTCTGTCATTTATAACCCTATATGTCATGCGGGTCACATGAAAAGAGAACTGTACTTCAGATCATTAGCATTTTAGTGCCTATTTGTAAAATTGATTTCTATCTGCCAGCAAAATTTGTGTTAGTCTCTCCAATATATTTCCCAAATGGACTGAAGCTAAACTTTATGTGGACCTATTGCAATAGCTGTAAGTCCGAGTGACTCCAAAAATATACCAAATCAGTGGGGTGGGATTTCTGTTTATAAGACCAATGAAAGATGTGTTTGAGAACATGGTGAACAATATTAAAGTAGCAGGAGGGAAAATTGAATTATTTTAGGGGAAAGAGCCAAGGCATGCATGACACAAAATTGGGATTTCTTAGGGTTTCTTTCCCCTGGGTTTTGAGAGGTTGGTTGAGGGATATTTATGTATCCAAATTATGTTAAACAAATTTAAGGGCTACAGTTCACTATGTTTCCCATCTTAAAAGTAGGAAATTGTGCTGCTAATTTTGCAAACCAAGAAAATGGTTTCAAAAGCAATGAATTCCTTAATCAAAGGCAGCCTGTCATAGTCTGGCATTGTCAGATGCATGAGGTACATAAATTAATGAATACTCAGCTTTTCTACTAACTTCCTTGAAGTTGTCTATTTCTGTATATGAAGTAGATCCTTGGATAGTCGTTTGGCCAAGTTTGAAAATAAGATACTTTATTACTATTACTAGTTATTACTATTATTTTCATGATACTAGTATGCTGTATCAGTTTCAAATAGCTGTTAGATGTTCTGATGAAGCATCTTAGGTTAAAATATATTTCAGGTTAATTGCAGGTGATTATGAAATATGTGGTTTCACATTATGATGTATAATTCCAACTATGGGTGTATTAATTGCATTTGTTGTAAGCTGCCCTGAGAAGATTTGTCCTGAAATGGCATTGTAAAACATATAAATGACAGTTCCATCTTCTTTTAAGATTGTCAAATTCTGGAGACTGGAAGTGAACCAAGCTAAGAGTTAGGCACAAGTAAGCCTATTGATCCCAGTACCAATTGCTTTCAAAACCTGCACCCAGCTTAGATCCAGAGCAGTCAATCGTTGTGTTAGTATGGTCAGTTTTGTGGCTTAGAGAAAGCAAGGGGCTTACCTTTTATTTTCCTTTAAAGGAAGCTTGTTTTACCACTCATATAAGGCCATTTGACAGTGTTTAATCTACAAAGCACAGAGTAGTTATGCTGAAGAAAGATCTTTAAATTCAGGGAGATGCTGAAATACATAGCAACAAATACAAGGAGAGAGAGAGAGAGGGAGGGAGGGAGGGAGAGGGAGGGGGGGTTGAAGCTCAAAAAATGAAAGGAGGGGGAAGGAAATAAAGTTTAGCAGTTCATCCTTTGGGTGATCAGATCTTTAAACCAGCCGGCTGCCACCTTGCAATAAGGTCACCCAAGTCATATGGATGAAGCTTTCCCACACAACCTGACTGGAAGGCAAGCAAGCGCAACTTTCTCTTTCTGCTCCTCCCAGCAGTCGGGTTTCTGCATGCAGGTGGGATGTTGAAGCAACATCCTGCGAAAAGAAAGGCAGATCCGCCTTCGCCTGTTCCCTGACAGATGGATTCATTGGGGACACTCGGCCATAATCCGTGCTCAGTGACAACGTCAAGTTCGCAGGAGCGCCCGCTGGGTCCTTACGCCTACCGGTTTCCTATCAACAGCCGTGCACGCAAGGGTTAAAGCAGTAAATCAAGGCCAAACCTCCGTGCTCCTCGCAATTCGGTTGATTTAAAAAGTCAACTCCCCCTTCAGAAACAGACGTCCAGTTCCGCTGCACGAAGGAGACCCCTAAAAGCGAGTCCTCGGGCCGTCTGGCTCCCAGCCCACCCATCCTCCCTCCCTCCCATTCACAGCCAAACCGATTGCTGCCGCCGCCGCCTGTCTTCCCGAAGCAAACGGCCTAGCGATCCGCTCAAGGTCATTTAATAGTCCTAAGGAAGACTCTCTCGCCCCCCCCCCCATCCCCACCCGTTACATCTGAGGAAGCGGAGCTGCTCTGGTGCCCGGTCTATGCACACACAAGCAGGTCTCAGGGAGGAGGGGTAACGGCGACGAATCGGATACTTTCCAGGGGCGCAGGAGGCGGCATCAGAGCTGTCAAATATCCGGACAAATTGCGTCCGGAAATGTATCTCTTTGCCTATCACATAGACTAGACTAGAGCATTGCACTTGTTTTCTATGTTAGCTCGCGCCCAGCCTGTCTGCAGCTCGCTTCCACCTGCCGCTGCGCTCGGATCCACCGCGTTGGTTGCCTAGGCAAGTGCCGAGTTCCTCCAGGGACACCGATCGATTCTGCCGCGGATCACGCTTTGTTTTTTCTGTTCTGCTTCAGTTAATGACTGAAGGCCTGGCAGAGAGCCCTGAGCTGCGGAGCCCAAGGTTCAGCCCCACCGCCTCGACTCTATTAACGCCACTGAGTCACTCCACGAAACTGTTAACTCTACCACCACCACCACCACCACCCCCCCATCCCGGCCCGCCCTTCATTCCCCAGGCACTGGAGCACATACCGGGTCCGCCGGGGGGCTCCGCCGGCGCCGGCCTGGAAGCCTCATCCTCTCCAGGCGCGCCGATCCTGTCGAGACCCAGATCTCCGCCGGGGACTTCGGTTTCTCCTGCAGGACGCGCCGCTTCCTCCTCTGGCTGGCGGACAACTGGAGGGCTGGAAGTGCCCTGGGACGATGGGGAACTGCCGCTGCCGCCGCTTCCGTTCAGGCTGCCGTCCTGTTCCCAATCATCCCAAAACCAAGGCCGATGCGCCTGTTCTAAGAGGCGTCGACTCAGGCGGTAGCGCAGTAACTCTTGGTAGCAGGGGCCGCACGCCTCCCATTTCGGTTCTTTAAAGCACTTCATGTACTCGCTTTTCACGCACCGCGACGGCACCATCGCGAATCGCTTTTCAATCCAAGCTGCTCCGCGGGGTCGCCCTCCAATCGGGGAATTGATCACCGCCGGGGGGAGAAAAAACACTCTTATTTCACGCTCTTCACCCCATCCTCCCGCTGGAACGTTTAAACACAAACAGCAACGTCCTGTATCCGCCTCCGCTCCCTTCAGCCAATCGACGTACGAGTTGGAGGTTCTCTGCTACGTCACAATCAGGCTTTTGGGGTCTTCGAAAACATCAAAGGTGGTAACATGCTGGCTGCTTCTTGGCAGTTTGATGGAGTGGGGTGGGGGCAGAGACGACCTATTTAAAGAGGAACAGCAGTTCTCTTCGACTTCGTTCCGGAAACAGAACATACTCTCTTCGTAATCCCCAGATTTGAACCACTTACCAGTGCAGCTGCTACTATAAAAAGTGTTTCTGGTATCTATCGCACGTGATCCAGGCTATAATGCAGTTTAGCTGTTAGGGCCATTTTCACACTACGTACAGTAGTGGCTTAAAGCGTCATCGTCGTAGTGTTAGCTCCAAAATATTGTTGTTATATGTGGTTGTCTAAGGTATTTGATCGCGCCCTAGTATTTTAGCGGGTTTGTGCTTAATTCTGAAATTTTTAATCTGGGATGCTAATATATATGTCTCTAGTAGAGTATTTCCCTCCCTCCCCCACTGTAAACAGGCACCTGCTGAGCAGTAACAAATCAGGGTGTCACAAGTAATAGTAGGGCTGCTGTTTACCTGGGCACCATTTCACCAGATTTGGTTTGTGCAAATATATTTTCTGTTCATAATGTACCCTAAAGTCAATCATTCTTTTGTCAGAAGAATTTCCCAGTTCCTTTCCAGCTCCGGAAAGCCTACGATGAAGAAATTTGAGGACAGCAGCTACCGCAAAGCAGGTCTTTTTTACAGGAAGGCAATAAAGTGACAGAAAAGTGACTTCAGCATTCCTGCCTTGCAAGGTGAACCCCTGGTCCCATGTGTGACTTTTTACATGCTTTTTCTATCTTGGGGCTGTGGCTGAGCTGGCTCTTTCTTTTGTGTTTTAATGGTTGCTTGATGTTCTTTTCTTCGTCCTAAGTGGTATCTCCTTTGTCCGGTTTCTATTTTTGGGGGCTTAATCCTGTCAGGGGCAGGGCAGGTAGTTCTCCTCAGGGATGTTCCCTTTGTCCCGATTCTATTTTGGGAGTTAATCCCATTGGGGCAGGGCAGGCAATTCTTGATGGCTTTGCTATCTGAGTTTTCCCATTGTTCTTGGTGGTATGCCCAGGATTTCAGAAAAGGGCTTTTCCAGAGAAAAAAAGTGTGTCTGCATGTTTTTCTAATGGGGATGAGCATATGGGAGTTTTGTCAGGGTAAATCTTCCAACAATTTAAATGCCTCTTCCTCATTATTATTGTTATTTTGCAGAAATGGGGGATATCAGGAGATTTTAAGTTGGGCCAGAAAATGAACAATCAGCTGGAAAGATAACTAAATCGCATTAAGGAAGGCTTTTGATACTGGCAAAGCATTTTTAGAGATTTGGAAATACAAAAGCTTCTGGGGGATTTCCCATTTCTAATAGAAGGAAGTGGACACCAGGAATTGGGAGAAGTGAAATCCTTTAATCCTGAATGAAAATCCTTCATCAGTCCTTCCTGAGAAAGGAGGGTTTAACCCAAAGGACTTTGCTGGAAAGATATTCTTCATAAAATAGCAACTATCCAACCTTGGCTAATCTTGAGAAAGTTAAGCAATACGAGCTTGTTTGCTACTTTGCACTAGACTAGGCTAAACTGGGAAGTCAGAAAATGTCCTGGAGGTGAGGAACAACAAATCATTTCCATATGCTTCTGAGGAAATTGCAAAACTGCCGTCACCAGGCATCCTACTGAGAGCATCCCTTGTTTTTTGTTTTTTTTTAGCTGGCAACTTTTGCTTTGCAGCAGAAGCATAAAAAAAATATCTCTGCTTTAGTGACCTTACATTTGAGATACCTCCATACATACCTCCACCCATTTAGGATGTCTTCTTAACTTATTCATGCAATGCTATGTCCTGTTATGTTTTCTTTGTCATCTTATTTCCTATGGATCTTCCTTTTCTGAGAATGCTGGATAGACATTCCAACTGAGTTCAGCACAAAAGTATAATGCAAAACTGCCAGGTATCTTTAGCATTATTATGTTGTCTTTGATAAGCATGATTGGGTACTCAGTCCAAGGAATATTGAATTTATAGAGTTGCTTTGATGTGGTTGTAGCATCAGGCTACAACCCAGCAGACTATGAGCTTTAGTCCTTCCATGGACACAAACACGGCTGTGTGACCTCAGGTAAGTCACTCTTTCTTTTAGCCTTAGGAAGGAGGCAATGGCAAAACCTTGCCAAAAAAACTTTAGGGTCTTATCTAGGAAGTCTCCAAGAATGAGACACAGTTAAACATAAGAAAAAAATGTCACATTTTAATTATACTATTATTTTTTTGCAAAAAAAGGTAACTGAGTCCCTGCGGATTTTTACTATGCTAGTCGTTGCCAACTATAGGGGGTGGTTCTCATCTCCGTTTCAAGGCCACTGAGCCAGTGCTGTACGAAGACATTTCCATGGTCATGTGGCCAGCATGACCTCATGGAGTACTGATACCTTCTCACTGAAGTGCTACCTATTTATCTACTTGCATTTGTATGATTTCAAACTGCTAGTTTGGCAGGAGCTGGGAGAAGGATTGGAGCTCACTCTGTCATGTGGTGCTCGGATTTTGAACCTGGGCTGCCGGCTTTCCAGCCGATACGCCCAACATCTTAACCGCTGAGCCACCACACCTCCCTCTAATTTTTGCAAGCCCTGTATCAAATGAAATGCAATTAAACATGTTCAGTCATCACAAAATAACACAAATTTAACTTGCTGGGTTGTATCTAAATAGTGTGCCCAAAGTTTCCCCTTCGGCAGTGTTTCTCAATATCAGTAACTTTAAGACAGGGGTGTCAAACTTGCAACATCATGTGACATGTCGTGACGTATCGCGACTTTTTTTCCATTGCCAGCAGTGGGGTGGGCGCAGTTTCGCCAGGAGGCATCCGGCCTGTGGGCCGGCAGCTTTGACACTCCTGCTTTAAGATGTATGGACTTAAAATGCATGGCATGCTAGCTGGAGAGTTCTAGGAGTTACTCCATCCATCTTCAAATTGCTGAGGTTGAGAGACACTGCCCTAAAAGATCCTTGACTCTATGGAGATAATTTGAAAACTGTGGAAGAGAGGGAGGGGAAATTCAGGCCACACAATACTGGATACAGCCCATTTTACTTTAAGATAAGTTGTATTCTTTTTATTTCAGTCTTTGGAATTAACAAATTCAGTAAGCAAACCCTGACAGATTTTTGTTATAGCATAACATTATTAATGCATACACAATAAACAAATTACAATTTATACTGACATTTCATTTGTTACCGGGTTAACTTTTTCCGTCAAGTGTTCACCTGTAGGAGATTATGACAATTTTCTTCAATGCAGCTATAAGTTGTTACTTTCTATAGGTAAATAGATCCTGGGACTTATTCAAAAACAACATATTTTCATCTCACCTAAGTTTTTTTTTCAAGTAGACAACAATATCCAAAGATTCGTCTAACTGGTATTTAATGAATTTTCTGTAGTAAGAAAAAGGATCTAGGCTTCAAGTGTAATTTTATTTAGATTTAGATTCTTTGTAATAGTCTCTGGATGAAGCAGCACAATTGTGCAATTCCAGACTGATCCATAAGCTTTTGAAATCTCCTAGATTGAATCAGATGGTCAAGATTGTCTACATGCCAAGATCATTCCTAAATTTGCCCACTGGAGGTCCTCTTGAGACTTCAGTTTTAATTTTCTTCCCCAAAGGATTTTTGCCTTAAAGACTGCATATTGTTTCATCAACAGCAGTCAACAGCATATGCAGAATATGGAATGACATATCTATTTTTTCTTCTACTGGTTTATAAAATGGTGCACTTAGCCTGAATCAACTGTTCTTTGTTTACTTCTTATAAAGCTTTAAGGCAATTTACCAGCTTTGGCCTGGTAAATGACAGCACTAGTGTTTATTTCTGTTATCATTACTTTTAAGATATTCAAATTGCTTTATGTGAATTTTTATATTCATGTAGAACTCGGCCCTCAGAAAGTTTTCTGGTTGAGGATGGGCAGATCATCTCTCTCTGCCTCAGTAATGATCAAGATTACTAGATATGGGCTGCAGAGATCCAGGTGACCAATAGATGGTGGAAAAGAGATAAGAGAAATTCTGAATATTTTGCAGTCACCTAATTGTTATCTGATAATGCTTGAGCGCTCAGAAAGATCTTATGGCACCAATATCGACCTATTTATTTGTTAGATTAGTAGTCATATTTAGTGTTTTGAGTGCTGCAATATCTTTCTTGTCTTCGCTTGTATCATATTAATACCTATGGAAATACTGCAACTTCATTTACCTCTAAGCCAGTGGTTCTCAACCTTTTTAATGCCGCGACTCCCAACTGGTCGTAAGTCAAGGACTACTCAACCGGTCGTAAGTCGAGGACTACTCAACTGGTGCAGCACCGTTTGCAGAATGGGACTTTTGGCGGGCTCAGCAGGGCAGAGACAGCCTGGACAATTCCTATTGGCTTTTGAAAGCCAATAGAATTATACTCTATTCAAGAGAGTCTATTCTATTGGCTTTCAAAAGCCAATAGAATAAAAGGGAGTAGCACAGCTAAGGAAAAGGGGGGGAAAATGGCGGACTGTGTTGTTTGATGACCCCCGTGAAATGGTCGTTCGACCCCAAATGGGGTCCCGACCCACAGGTTGAGAACCAATGGTCTAAGCTGTCAAAAGGATTAAAAAGATTTTTATGAAAAAAGAAAATTTGTACTTGACAATTATAAGGAAGATTTATGTATGTTTAACACAACATACATTCTACAACACTCAAATAGCTTAATAAATCTGATAGATGTTTAACTATTTAATCTTATATATTGAGACATCTGTCTTTTTAAACTCAGCAAAACAGATAGACAGTCAGACAGATAGAATCTGTATAGAATTTTACTTTAGATTGCTACTTCATTTATGCTTATTTTATGTACATCCAATTAAAATTATTCTGAAAAGATATGCATAATATTGTACAA